AATTGATTCGGATGAGACGGGAGGCAGTGCTGCTCAAAAACAGAAAATTTCCTTTCTTGAGAATAATCTTGAGCAGCTCACAAAAGTCCACAAACAGGTACAGTGAAACTTAATTTACTTCAGTATTAACTTCAGAACTTCAAAAACAGTTGCTTGTTCAAGATGTATTTTAAAGGTTTAAAGTTTAGAATCATAGAATAATAGGACTCGGATGAGACGGGAGGCAGTGCTGCTCAAAAACAGAAAATTTCCTTTCTTGAGAATAATCTTGAGCAGCTCACAAAAGTCCACAAACAGGTACAGTGAAACTTAATTTACTTCAGTATTAACTTCAGAACTTCAAAAACAGTTGCTTGTTCAAGATGTATTTTAAAGGTTTAAAGTTTAGAATCATAGAATAATAGGACTGGAAGGGACCTCGAGAGGTCATCGAGTCCAGCCCTCCGCCCTCAAGGCAGGATCAAGCTCCGTCTACAAATTTATGTACATATTTGTTGTAGAGTAGTGTTCATGTTCATACGATTCAGAGATGCTGGTCTCAAATTTTAATTTCAATTGTTAATATTATATAAACTAATTTATTCCTTTGAAGGTCTTTTACAATAATTTGGACTTAAGTGATTGTGTGAATATATTATAGTGATATCTTAAATGGTGTAGTTCTATTGACTGTTAATGCTTAAAAGGAAATGTTTGCTAATATGTAGTATTTTATTTAGTTTATTCAGTTTAAACTTATAACAAAGTTAATATTAGTCTGTCTCTTATGGTTACTTTCATCTTGCTTCAGTGTAATTGCTAGTTTGTTTGTTTTTTCAGAAAAAAATTAAAGATATATTGTTTATCCTCAGCTGGTGCGAGATAATGCAGATCTTCGCTGTGAGCTTCCTAAACTGGAGAAACGACTTAGAGCTACAGCTGAGAGAGTTAAAGCTTTGGAATCTGCGCTAAAAGAAGCCAAAGAGAATGCATCTCGTGATCGGAAACGATATCAGCAAGAGGTAGACCGTATTAAGGAAGCAGTCAGATCCAAGAACATGGCCAGAAGAGGACATTCTGCACAGATTGGTTAGTAAAGAAAATGCAGCAACTTCCAAATGTGTTTTAACTTTCCTTTCTGTTTCTTTTTTGATAACACAAGGCCAAATTCTGTCCTGTACACATGCCTGCAGCTCTTATTAATGTCCAGAGTTGCAAATGTGAAAGGCAGGATTTGTCCCTTAGGGTATGTCTAGACTACAGGCTTTTGTCGACAGAAGTTTTGTCGACAAAGAGCATCTAGACTACATCCAGTTCTTTTGACAAAGCAGCTTGCTTTGTCGACATGACAGTGTAGACGCGAAGGACAGTGTAGGTGCAATAACACCTTCTGTCAACAGAACTCTGTCAACAAAAGATGTTATTCCTTGTAGAATAAGGTTTACAGGCGTCGAGCGGCAGTGTTGACGCAGATATAGTTTTGTTGACGGAAGTCCACTTTTGTCGACAAAACCCTGTTGTCTAGACACACCCTTACTGCAAAAATGGCTATTGTTAATTTGTGTATAATACATATAAATCTACGTAAGTCATTGCTTTGTTGACCTGATCTGTCACTTCAGTGTTTAGGCTTTCACACGATATAAAACCACACCTGCCTGGAATGCCAACTACGAAGGTTAATGTTCCCTTTCCTTTTAAAAACAAAGGAAAAGTTTGAACATAAACTAAAAAATTCTATAATTTGTCCTTGAAGTCCCTCTTTGTAATCTTGTCATTATAAGAACAAAGTGGTTATCCAAACAAAGGAAGGGACATGTAACTTGAAGTGTACTCAGTTTAATTAGCAAATTAATAATGCCTTTGCTAAAGCAAAAACATGGCTTTCTCAGCACTTTTTTTGGTAATTGATTTGTTGTGTATTTTAAGCAGAAAAATCTCATCTGTAAAACTTGACTATCATTTTTGTGTAAAACTAGAAAATCCAAGCAGACAATGCAAGATCTAAAATGCCTGTAATTCAATATTTTTAATTTAAACTTAAGGATCAAAATAATCCTCATTACCTTTCATTCAAAGTGCACGGTCCATTCCTTTACCCTTATCTTCTCTAATACCAGTACAAAGCAACATATATTTAAAAATAAAAAACAAACAAAAAATAAGCCCAATCTCAAAACATTCCATCTCTCTGAATTTTCTCTCTAGAGAGGATAAGAACAAAACCAAGTGTGACTGATGTTAGTCAGATCTCTTAATGTGGGACTGTAAGGCACTTTGATACTGTGGTGATGAGAATAGTATAAGAATATGGAATAGAACATACATTTTATTTATTTATAAAAAGTTATCTTAATTTTCACTTTACACAGTATCCTGTCTTCTAATAGCAGCCATTGCTAGCGCCCCAGAAGAAAATGAACTGAACAGATAGTCATCAAGTGATCCATCTCTTGTCACCCATTCTCAGCTTCCAGCGGACAGACTAGGCACACAATCTCTGTCCCCTGGTTAATAGCCATTGAGGGTCCAATCCTCTCTGAATTTATCTAGTTCTTTTTTATAGTCTTGGCCTTCACAACATCCTCTGGCAAGAAGTTCTGCAAATTCTTCTATCGTCAGTGTGAAGTCCCTGAAAAATTTTCTGATATCTTGCTAAGTGGTCTAACAGTGTTATTAACCATATAGCTTGTGTTATACAGTAATAACTTCCGACCTCAGAATTCACTAGCAGAGTAAACATCAAGCGTATTTGCTTATTTAAATCTGAAAACACAGTAGAATCTTGCTCATCTATACTTTAGTAAACCATCAGTCTATATTGAAAATTGATTTAAAGATTCATTGCTCAAAGTAGAGGGAATCTGGAAAATTTTCCTTGTGCTCCTGGGGTGGGACCACTGGGGGAACATTACGTCATCCACTAACCTTGATCCAGCCTTCACTGAAGCTTTGAAACTGGACTGCAAAAGCTGCTCCTAGCCTATGCTTCTGAAATGGGATTGGGTTAAACCCTGCAGCACATGTCTGTTGCAAAAGTAGTGGTGAAAACTGCTGTATTGAAATGGTTTGGGTTATGCAGACAGTAATTTGCTTTGAAGGGATAAGAGAATCCCTTATTTCTACTCCTCCGATCACCAGAAGGACAAGGACTATGGAGAAAATGTTGAGGGTCTCTTTCTACCTTTGTCACAGAGCACAGACAGAGGCATCTGATATTCTAGAAAAGGGGTCACCAACCAGTCGATCGGGATCTACAGGTAGATCTTGGAGCCTCTGACAGGTGATCCTGACTGGTTTGGCCAAGAGGCTATCAAATGATGGCACTTTAGCTGCCCCACCCCTGGGAGCCTCCTGCTTGCTGGGCAGGGAAGGGAGAAGAGGGGTGCTGATGTCAAGGTGCTCCCTCTCCCACTCTGTATCCTATCTCCACAGAGCCGGGGGGGGGGGGGGAGGCAAAACAGGATTTGGGATGGAATTTTCTGGCTGCTTTTGGGAGTGGTGCAGAGTCAGGCAGACTCACCCCTGTCCTTAGTGCCACTGCACCACCACCTAGCAGCCACTTGACTTAAGCAGTGCCAGTCAGAGCCCACCTCCTGAAGTCTTACCCCAGTTATGAATCCCCTCCTGCACCCGAAGCCCCTGTCCTAGTCCCAAGCACCCCTGCATCCAAACATACTCCCAGAGCCTGCACCTAGAATCCCCTCCTGCACACCAACTGCCTGCCCCAAGATAATCCCTTTATCCCAGACCAGAACCTTCACCCCAACCCACTGCCACTGCCTGGTGAAAGTGAGGGAAGATGGAGGAAGGATGGAGTGAGCAGGGGTCGGGCCTCAGAGAAGGGGCATAAAGGAGGAGGGGCAAGAGTATTTGTGTTTGAGGTAGATCTTGAATTGCACTTAAATTCAAAAAGGGATCTTAAAAAGTTTGGAAACCACTGTTCTAGAAAATGGCCCCGGCCATTAAGAGAGTGGCTTTCTGTGAAAGGTCCCCTTCCCATACCCCACAAAAAAATTTCTTGCAAGAAGCTAGCTGGACAGGAAAGGAAGGAGAGCTGAAGTAAACTATTTTAGTCCAGTTTTACAAAATTGTGCATGCATATTTCTCTGGTAAGTATAGCAACCTTAAATATAACACAAGCACCGAGCTTCTTGTGTTTCCCAAATCCTAGCTTCAGAACTGTCCCCTCTCTTCCTATCATTGAAGTCATCTAGGCACAAGAAATTACTCTAACTTCAGAGTCCAACAAGGGAAATGGGACATGTCCCAGGCCTGTTTTATTATTTTGTCTATAAGTTGGGGAAACATGAGGGAAGAAAGTCCCTTTCCATGCTGAGTTGCTGGAAAATAGTGGAAGTGCTCCTGATCCTGACCTCTCATCTTCTCCTGGGGGGAGTCCTAAAGAGGAAGAGAATCTGTAGCCATAGCTGCTTCTCCGTGACAAAAAAGAAGCTATTTGCCAAGATAAGAATTTACCCAACTAGTATTCAGCCTTGGCCCCAAACTTTCTCTAGCTGATCCTGTCAGCTAGCTAGTAAGATATTTAGCCAGGATGTAAGAGAACACATGACCATTGTGAATCTGATTGCTGACAAGTGTTATGATTCAGCTTTTTGAAGGAAGCATCTGACGGGAGCTGCAGAGTCCATCATATACATTAGCAACAAGCTGGACTTCCACCTTTGGACAGGGAGCAGCTTCTGCCACTGTAACTTTCATATATTTTTTTCTCATTTTAGAAAGCATGATTCATACAGTACAAATTATTTTTTCAGGGTGTCATAAAACAAAATATTAATAAATTTGAACAGTAAAAGGTCACATGATAGAATTGCTTGTGTGTGATTTCTAATCACATTTTATTTTGTGTAGCTAAGCCTATCCGTCCTGGCCAGCATCCAGCAGCTTCTCCAACTCATCCAAGTGCAATTCGTGGGGGAGGTGTGTTTACTCAAAACAGTCAGCCAGTCACACTGCGTGGAGGTGGAGGACGTCAGGATAAAGTGTAAGATTTTTTTCTTTTGTTTGGTAGAGGCTGTTTTTAGTGTCTCCTTAAACCACTGTGTTTCATAGTTTGTGTTTGTAATCCATCTGTCAAAAACACTTTAGTATTCTATGTTTAACTTGTTGTTCGTATTACCATATCTTGGAATTAGAGGACTATGCTAAAATATTCAGCTCATACTGTTACCTTCTTTTGTAAAACCAAAATCCTGTAGTGAAGTAAAGTGGCAGTTCTAGAGTTACGTGTCCTATTTCTAATTGAACAAAATACAAAAACTATAATATATAGATCAGTTTGCGACAACCATACTGCATAAAATATCTAATGTAGATTTTTAAAAAAATGCTGCTGTTTGTGTTGTTCACCTCCTAATTTTTTGGTAATGGGTAGCCCGAGTTTAAAGTAATAATGGGTCTGCTTCACGCAGCCTTCAAGGATAAAAAATTAGTTTTAAACTCATCATATTGTGGTGTTCTTTTAAATTAATATACAAATACGAAAGAGCTTCAGTAACTGAGGTTTGTATGTGATTTTAAAAAAATGCATCTGAGCATATATTATAGTATATGAGTACTTTATTGAAATCAATGGGACTATTCACAGATTTAAGTACCAGTGTTGATCTGGGCCTTAAAGCATATTTTCACACTAATAGGTTGTTTGTCACTCCCCTCTGCTCACCATAAAACATCAACCCCATTTGAATATTCCATCTGTCTGAGCATCTGCTGCACAATTAGTTGTTTGAATTGAAACCATCTGCATCTTCAACTGAAGGGCAGTGCACACTTAGAACCCTGTATATGTAATATTTCTCTCAGAATTTGACTTCTATCTTAATTCCATTCCTTCCTAATTATTATTAACTTATTTTCTAAAGTTTATTTTATACTGATTTAAAAATTGTTGAAGGCTATTAGAAGTTATGCTTTTTGTTTTTTGGTAGTAGAAAGGGATCAGGGAACAGGAGTTTGAAGTACAAGATTTTGAAGTCCAGACACTATCTGATGCTGGCAGTTGATTAGCATCTAGGTACCAAGGTGATTCTCTCCTATTGAGAGAATTCTGTGTGTTAACTTTCTTTTACTCTCATGTAAAAGCTAGCATCTCACTTGGAAAAGAAAAGGAACTTTTATTCTTTTAAGTTGTACACTAGTTGGTGTTGAGAAATTCTAGCAGGGAGACTGTTAGTTTGATGACTTAAGTACAGCAGCTTACCCAGTTCAGGGCCATAAGTGACAATTTTGAAAGCCTTATATTTTTGTCATCAATGTTAAGAAAATTGTTTTTGCATCAGGTTATTGCAGTTTTCCTCTGAGGAGAGGAAAGGAAAAGAGGGATTGTCATTTGTGCTAGTCAGATATTAATGTTTAGAAGTTTTTTTAATTGAAAAGCTGTGAAACTTCTATTTGACACCGATCTGCAAAATTCCCATTGATGTTGGCAGTTAAGTTCCATGTGTATATCAAAGCCATTAAAATGGCTCCTACTGTGTAGAGTTAAATGCAAAAATCGTAAAGAGTAAACATTACCAGTATACGAATTTATTAACAAATGGGGTTATGCTCTTTTTGAGCAGTTGCATTAGTTTTACCACTGAAAACTAATAATTATTCCTGAATATGTAGATCATATTTTTAAAAAAACCCTTTGTCACCTGTTCTCTCTCTCTCTCTCTCTCTCTTCCCCCTCCCCCTCCCTCCCTCCCTCCCTCTCTCCCTTTCCAGCCAATGTATTTGTTCTGAAGGGGTGCGGCAGGGAAATTAGAAATATAGGCACATTATTTGACCAGTACTGCCAGGGTTAGTATGGATACTTCACACTTGAAACCCATCTTACTGTGTGGCAGGCTTTTAGGGGTTTTGTAAGAAACAAGAAGTTTGCTTTTTATTAGGTAATGTCATTTAATTAATGGATTTCATGCAAAAATAATAAAACAAGAAGGGTATTTATTGTCTACTACTCATACAACCCAGTCTTTTGGGGATGACTAGTAAATAAGAATGTCTCCTTCCAAACACCACCACCTTTCTAAAATAGATGAAAAGATTCAATTTGAAGAGTAATTTTATCAGGTGCTTTGAATGTATCTTTATCACCCAACCCCAGTTCTCCTCTTTTGAAAATGTTACACCCTGAAAATTGCCAAAATTCTGTTCATTTTGGCATGGTGAGGATAAAAAGCAAACTTCAGACCATCCATTGGATAAAAGCAAATAAATGTTGAAATGGGTATGATATTGAAAATAGCACTAAGCACCTTGTGTTCCTAATGAATGTAAAGGATTATATTTCAGGTCTGGGATATGTGTGCATATGTATTTAACTGTCTTTTTTTTTGTTTTAATAGTTGCTGAAAAGTAAATGCATTATGAAGATGACTGGATATCATGCAGAGAAAGTCATTCCATGACAATAATCTCTCCCTTTGGGGATTGTAAGATTATTTTTTTGAAAATGTATAAATTATACCTGGCCTGTACAGCGCTCTCCCCTCCTACAAATTCTGATTCCCAACAAAACTAGAGTGCAATTTTGGCGTCTTGAAAAATGTTACTTCAGGTGTAGCTCTGTCCATTACACAGTTTGTCTTTCATGTCTTAAATTTAGTCTGCACTGTGCCAAGTTGAATGTATAAGAGAAATCTTAGTTCAAATTTCCTAGTTTAACTTGTGTACATTTTGTCTTAGAGCATATGGAATAATGTTGAAGTAATTTTTAATTTTTGTCACTTTAAATAACACTATTTGTCCCACTCTGTTAGAACAGCACTGTACACTAAAGTTCTCCTAAAACGACGTTCTGTGTAGCCAGGAGAAGAGCTGTCTTGTCCATAGGACAATTTGGGGTGGCTGCCCCAGACTCTGTGCTTTGGAGGCTTCCGTGGCAGCCACATCAGCCATCCTATGGATGGGACGGTCTCCTGTGTTAGCTTTCTGGGGGTAGTGGCCTGGCACAAGACAGTGTCAGGGTTCAGGCCTCCATAATCACCATGGCAGGAGCTGGAGCTACCCAGCAGCCAGTTCCATTCCGCTACCTATCACCCAACCTACTGTGCTCCACTTCACTATGCTGGTGGGAAGCTAAATGTCCTGGCTCTGGTCCACTTCCCCAAGCTCTGCATAGCTTGCGGGGAGTGGGCTAGAGTTGAGGCCAGGGCACTTTGCTTCCTGCTGCTGCTGCTGCAGTGAGTCAGAGTGCACAGGGCTGGGAGAAGGCAGTGGAGCAAGCTGCTGGGTAGCTCAGACTCCTGCTGCCATGATGAGTGCAAGAAGGGGCGATCCTTGCTCTTGCCCCACACCAGCGCCCCCAGTAATCCTCCAGCTCATGTCATGTGGGGAGGGGCCTTGGGGGAAGAGTCATGGCAGGGCTTGGGGGATATTGGGAGAGTGCCCTAGGCCCCGCACCCCCTTAGCGATGGGTCTATCCAGGACTAATACTGCTTGTACAGTGTGGAAGTACTGAAGTGTGCTTATGACAGCTGCCATTAGGAACTTTAATCTTAAAACCACAGAGCTAAAGATTTCAGTTTGAACAAGGCTGTTTAACTGTTATCTTATTAAATACCCATTACTGGGTTATTTTGAATTCAATATTGTACAAGTAACAAGAGTAAACTTAAGTTTACATGGGGAAAAGGCTTTGGCAATAGAATATTTCATCTGTTCGTTCTTGATTCTACATATAGAATAGCTTGATGGAATGAAAACATTCTGCTTCATTCTGATGAACCTGTTCACTGTCAACTGAGTTGGACAAATGAATATTTTTCAATAATTTAGTGTATACTGAAATGAGCTAGAGTAATCAAGGATTCAGTTCTTGTATCTCCAATACCGTATACATCCTGGAGTTCTTAAGCTGAAATTTAAACTTTTGATTTGAGAAAGTAAGTCAATTGAACTACTGGATAAGGAATTGAAATCCAATAGTAATGGAGACAGACATTTTCAAATATATACTCTGAAGTAGTTGTATCAGATTTTTTTCTTTTTCTCTTTGCAATATAGTTGTGTAGACTTGGCTAATAACAAAACACTGTTTCATTTTTGAGCTGATTCTCAAAAGTTTTGAGCACTCAACACCCACTGAGGTTAAGTTCAGGCTTTTAATGTTGCAATTCCATCATTTGTGTAATTTATTCCTAGGGTTTTAGCCACTATGTTTTTAGAATGGTCCTTCTCAAAAGATGCACATGAATTGCCAGATCATTGAGAGGGAAGGAACTTAGTGATATGAAAGAGTTCAAACTGTTTTTTCCAGAGCCAGTTAATGTCATCTTTAATATTAGTGGTCTGTCCTATTTTGGCTATTCATCAGTCATTGTGAAAATGTAAAACACCATAAGGGCATCAATGCCAAATCACTTTTAATAACTTTTTATACAAAGTAGAACAGTCAAATTGTCGATCATAATTCAACTTACTTTTTTTGGTTCCCTTGTAACTACTGCAGCTTGATTTTTATAATAGTTTTGATTTGATAGGTTGAATCTGTTTGCATCAGTCAGAAATCCACACTGTTTTGGAGTTTTTACTCTTTAAAGATGTATTTTTTACTCTTTAGAGTGTTTGTTGAAGCATGATAAAAGCAGCATATCAAGGATAGAGAACAGTGAAGTAGCAGTTGATAGGTTTTTAATTGAGTCCTCTTAATGGAAACAGCCCTGTCCATTATCATTCAATATTAAGTGCTGGTTTTCAGACCTCTACATATTTTACTTTACATTAGCTAAAAACTGGTTTCCTTGGAAATACTCTCAGATGAAGCAGGATTTTTTTCTCATGTAGATGGTAGTTCCATTCCTGTAAGTAATGTATCACGGGTATTGGTGCTGAACATTGCTGTGTAATAAGCAGTAAAATAAACTGTAACTAGCATGTAGCTCAAAATGTACATCACTTTTTTATATCTAAGCTTTTTTTTATTTTAAGCTTTTATGAAGTTTACCAAGAATTGCATCTTACAATTTTCAAAGAAATTGCTATTTTGTTCTTTTTGATT